AAAACGAGGATGGCTGCTTTTTTCCCTGTCAGTGTAGAACTTATTTTAATTCAACTGTTAAAGGCAAATTATAAACTATATATGTAAATAAAAGGAAGGTAAGTATCATAACAAAATTTAAAAACCGCTTAGTGTTCACGAATCCCGTTGTAATATTTTTTCAACCCTTAATGGTTTTTAAGAAAAAACTGTCAAGGAGACACAGGGGTGCTTCAGGGTAAATTCCCACCCTGTATATTACATTACAATCTCGTTCTCTTATTATTCCACAGGTTTGTTGCTGAGAAAATGATTTTCTAAAAATTATTAAGCTTGGAGAAAAACCTTTTTACCGTAGCCTGAAAAAAATTGAATATATAATCAGCACAAACTACCTTAAAAGGGTATGACGGATTTGTTTATATTATAGGTTTAGAACGGCCTGAAACTTTATTTAATTGTTTGAAAATGTTATATAAATCTTGACATATCTGTTGAGGCTAACATAAAAATCTCAAAATGCCCTGTTCGGAATTAATCGCCTGTTGAAGAGTTCATATTTCGGATTCACAGCTATCGTACAATAATTATCAAGTGGGTCGAGAATAGGGTCGGGGGAAGTTAATTAAATGGGTCGAGGGTTGTCCTGGAGGAGCCTTCTGACGTAATTACATCCGGTCACGACGGCGGGACATCTGTCGCTTTCAGATAATACCAAATATTCTATTAATAGGCGTGATTGTTTGGTCCAATTTCTGGCAACAAGTGACCGCAGGGCGATATCCCATTATGCCAAATTCCAATTGTTCCCTTTATTGCTGAAAAATGGAATAATTGTCATATCTGTTGACACGTATTAACGGGTTGGGTCATTCGTATTGAATCAAGTTCCTTCATTATTTCTTGCCTATAATTCGAATTAAAACCTGCAGTAGAAAACCAAGCAAAATGTTAAGAACGATAATTTATTTATTCATTCACCTATATAAATATTATAAAGGAATATTATAAAAGCGGATTTATTTATTTTTTAATTTTTTTTTGAGTAGAGGGTATCCGAGGGGATCGACGTCAGGATTGCTCAAGTGGTTAGAGTAGTGGCGTATTGAGCCGAAAGGTCGTGGGTTCGAATCCCGCTCGTGTCACTAATTTTCCATTTCAACCAAAAACCTAAGATAAAAAGAATAATTAATTGGAATAATTTGGCCAATTGTAACCACTAGGCAAATATGAATTAATTTTAAACAATATTAACATCAAATAAGCTCTCTATTTCACTTATTAAAAAAATTCATAAGGAAACACAGTTTATAAATGAAGGATAGATACAGACTATTTTAAGTAACAATGATTAAGAATATAAATTAATTTATTCCGTTTTTTATTAATTTTATCTCGGAACATAAGATTACTACTGTGCTACTAGGCCATAAGAAATCAATTTATTTTCAAACTGCTACTACAAAAGCGTAGACTGGAATGCTATTGCCTAATAAAAACGTCAACAATATCAATGACAAAATATTGTTCGTTTTATGTGTTGCGGTTAATTTTTTCCAAAAGTTAACTGTTACAAAACTACAATAATTTTATGTATTATTTACAAAGATATCGGCATTGATCGGTGCAGCCTGAAAAATATTGCTAATATCGGTTCACCATGAGGCTTGTCAGCGTGGAAATTGGGAAATGCTATGCGGTCTGCAAATTCGTTAATGTTGATCATAAATGAGAAGTAGCGTATCATAATTTTATGTTTTTCAAAAATAAATAAATTTTATCTACTAAAATTTAAAAAAATAGATAAAAGAATAGCTCATCATACATGACAAAGGATTTTAAAAATGCGAATAAACTTTTGGAAATTGCATTATTATTAAATTGTATTTGAAGAATAAATTGCAGAAAACCCCTTCTCAGAAAGTGTAAGTGTTATGTCAAGTGAAAAAAGCTTTACATTAACCATTGATTAAACGAAAACAATCTCGTTACCAAATAAAAACATGAATAATTTTAGGTTTGATGGATTTTAAAATATATTTGTTTCGTTGGCCTCAATTCTTAAAGCGTTGGGTCAGAGCTCATCACTCTAAGGTAAAAGTCCGGGGTTCGGATCCAGCGGCCCTGAATTCGAACACAGAGCCTTATTTATAAAACTGATGCCCTTTTTCGTTTGCTTTTTAATAAGACTTAATAATTAAAATATTTCAATTCCTGAACCAACAAAGGGTAATAATCTCGCTTTGGAAAAACATTTGACCTTCGTGAGTTTATTATGTCACCTTTAATCCAAATAGCATCCGGCTTTTTTACTTTAACATCCACCCAATTATTTACAGTGCACATGTTGTATCAGGTATTTTAAAATTTAAATCCTGATCTTCAACCTCGTCATCTCGGATTCCTCCTATTCTCGACGACATACTTACAAATGGGCATTTTTTTTAATAATAAAAAACATAAATTAATTTGTATTAAAATAGCGCATTTAAACGGATGACTGTCATTGTTAAGACTTTTTTTAACATCTTGGCCAATTTAAAAAATTGTACTTATTGACAGTTTTTTTTAACGTTTGACGATCATTTTGATTATTCGCATTATGAAAACAAGCTTTAATAGGAGAGTTATGATTTTCCACAATTACAAGATGTTTCTCTTTTGATTTTTTTTTTAATTGACACATTAGGAAAAAAATTCTATTGCGTTTACTATATTCTGAGAAAGGCATACTTTCGAGTAAAATAACGCTATTTTAAAGGGACTGTAATAGCATAAAAATTTCCTTTTTTCACTTTCTTTCGTCATCTAGCTGGTCATTCCGTTCCTTTTGTAAAACCGATTTTTACTCCTACCCGATACATTTACTTTGGACGAATTTTAAAATTATGTAAAAGTATACGGAAGCAGTTATTTTCCTCAAATTTCGTATTCATCTTTCCCAACCTAAGCGTTTTTATAAGAGCAAATAAATGATGTGTTTTCAGCGTTTTGTCATATTTTACGCTATATTTGTTATCCCGCAACATTACAAAATCCATACAACTTCACAAGGATGACACTAAAAGCAAAGAGCTCACAGGATTTCCGTTTTATCATTACAGCGCAGCGAATTAAAATTGTTCAGCAAAGAAAATCATTTTCAGGTAAAAGGAAAAATAAAATCCCTTGCATAGACATCAAGAACAGAAATATTTAAATAAACAATAAATAAATTTCAAACATTAAAACTTATTGATCATTCGGCACATTTCAATTCATTAGTACATTTTCTGTAGAAAAGTATATTTATTGTAACAAATTTAAATATATTATTTGCGGGTAAAATTTGACCAGTCTGCCAATGCTTTACATTTCCCGTCATTTGGGTTCCCCTGTCTTTGGTATTTTCGTCTGTCAGACACTCTTTGGTTTCTCGCTCTCTTCAGTGATGCTTAAATTCGTTCAATTAACTAAAAGTGGCACGTCAAAAAGTGCTAAAGTGCACACGGACGAACTGTAAATGGCTTACTAACAAAAAAAAATTAAAAACAAACAAAAAATTGGCACACAGTGATGCAATATAACCAAAATCGATAGAATAATAAAAAAAACGAGACATCAAACAGATTAAGTAAACCACAGACACCCACGCAGGAACATTAATGGATTATGAAAACAAAATATTAGTCATATATTGGAAAACTTCTGAAACGGAATATTGACTTAACAAAATATTATTTAAACAATAACATGCAAATGCGATGAACAATACACCAGACTGTTAGAACCAGAAAATAATAACAAACAAATACAACGAATATCCCATATTATTTAGTAATAACGACGGAAATTCGATCTAAGAGACTCACATTACACAAAACAACGTACCCTCAAAAACAAAAACCAGTTTGAATTTATTGCTTGATTTACAAAACGGACAAAAAATCGTCATGGCTAAAACTCTTGAAATAAAATAAATTTAAAACAAAAGAAACGTCTACCCCATGGACTGATCTGAAGAATTTAAACAATTCCAAATATAGGTAATTTCCGTAAAAACACTTTTAGACAAATATCACTCTGACACACTCCTACCACCGTTCAGGCACTAATAAAATGTATATCAGAACAAAATCAACACTGAATATGGCGAGAAGTCGAAACGCATCATAACAGAATTAAAGTTCATAGGAATAAATGTCTTTAACCATTCCAACGTCTAATTTTCAAACATATATTTAAGATACTTTTCCTGAATGGATTTTTGTTTTGTTTATATAAGAATTTGTGGAAAATATTGCAATTTTTAATCATTTAAAACAAACTAATTACCCTCTTAATAAACGTTGCTTAGGTGTGTGTTCGAAATTGATAGTTGAGCAGGAGGTAAACAAACTTATTAATTGTTTTTGACCAAAAATTAAATTAAAATGTAAACATGCCAACGTATGGAAAATAAAAAGGTTTTCGCTTAAAAACTTGTTTAATGGCTGGGCATTTGTTTGACGAATTCCATTCACAGTCAAGGCATCCGCATAAAGATGCTTGGCATTCCATGTCAAAACAGCTGAATCAATGAATCATCGATTTCGGAAATAAGTCGAATACCAGGGAAATTTACAGCCCCTGAAAGTTATATTTGACGAGTGCAGGTGTCGTCTCTGAATCGGCGAACCTTTTGTTATGCGTTTAGTATTTCCCAACTAGAATTTGTAACAGTAGGACTTCTTTTGTAAGGAAAATATTTAAGTATATTCTTTTCAAGATTTTTCAAAATTTACAAAATGCTGTACAATGTTAAAAACAGTCGTAGGTTTTTATGCGTTTGGGCCGAAGGCTCTTTAAACAGTAACGCCCACCGTCTGTTCAGTATATGGCCTATAAACCGGCTCATATCTCCTTTTAAATCCGACCAGAAGGCCTTTTAACCATGTTCCCGCAAAATGGGCTCCTTTCTCTTCCGACCCGCTCCGTTTAGTTCTCGTATCTTCCGGCTAGAAAACCGCCGGGATCATCTACGATAAGGAAAACATTCTCACCTTCCTTTTTTGGCGTCGATCATAACGCCGTTCGGGCCGAACCAAGCCATGCTGTTACTCGCAGGTCCAGAGCATGTCACGACGTAGGTGTCATTGAGTTTTTTTTCAACTTCACCCGACGGTGACAGGACAACTCCTCCTACGACACATCCTGAAACAGAAAAACTCAAAGTTAGACCAGTTTTCAGTAAAAAATTATATGTTTGTAATGGGTTATAATCATAAAAATATATAAAATAAATTATCGCTTTGGAAGAAATGTTCAATACGTCCAATCCTATGAGAAACAATATGTAATGTCAAATAACACATAATATTTTTTGTGTTTCCTTCATGCTGGCCGTTCTTTTATTCTCTCACGGGTAGGTATTTCAGCCTACCTAAGCTTTACCAGCCAACATAGGGCATATTTCAATATCTATGAGGTTTGTTTCTTTTAATCCGAGTTTATATATATATATCCCAAATCAGCAGTCCACTTTTATCCTAGTGCTAATACGTCCTAGATGTTACCTATTTTTAATTCATTGCTAGATGGATCCAAATTTTTGGCATTTAGTTATGACACAAAAGAGTTTTTGTCCATTAATTACGTCTCCTCGTTGAACATCCTTTTTGGCCATTTTGTTACCCTTCTGTCCTCTGTGCTTTCATAATCAGACAAGATAATTTATTTATCACAATGGGCTCTGATATGTTCCAAATAACTGGATTTTACTACCCGTATGCTATCATGGGTCAATAACCGACATGTTATGTTTTTCGGTTCTGTCCACATTTTTGACAAACGCGTTTACATCTACCACAGGCAAATTTCGCACTCTGTTTGATTTTATTTAGTTGTTCATTCCATGAATGTCTTTGGTCAAAAATTACTTCTATATATCTCACTCGCGAGAGAATGGAATTAAAACTTAATTTATCCCAGAATTAATTAAGGTTTTCAGTTGAGATAAAAAAGTCAATGGTACGAGCGGGATTCGAACCCACGATCTTCGGCTTGATACGCCGCTACTCTACCACTTGAGCTATCGTGACTTCGATCCACTCGGACATTAATTTACCATCTCAACCCCATCTTTTGAATTTTTTTTTAATGGCAAAAAGGAGGGGAAATTCAAAAGGTGTGGTTGAGATGGGAGGTTGGTGTCCGAGTGGATCGAGGTCACGATAGCTCCAGTGGTAGAGCAGCGGCGTATCAAGCCGAAGATCGTGGGTTCGAATCCCGCTCGTGCCATTGACTTTTTTATCTCAACTGAAAACCTTAATTAATTGTAAGATATTAATTGGTCAAGCGGACCACGAAACTAGTGAATTTATCCAAGAAGTTAACATTCTTTTCGTGACCCTTTATTGGTACAGGAAGTATGATAGCATTTTCAGGTAAGGCTTTTTGTCCGTGCAAAATACCTCTTGTATGTAAATTTACGTATCGATAATGGTTTTTCGTAAAGCCCATTCATTTACACAACTGTACTATGACAAAAATCAGATTTTTTCTGCTGCTTATTCTGTCCGATTCCTCCAGGAATGTTTGAAATCAAAGACTTGTTTATTAACATTCTTAGTTTTTAAATTTCTCTTGTGGACCTGAGTTGTAAAGAAGCCGTTTTGGATTTGACCTCCGGGAGGGCGAAGGTGAGAATGAGAGCACTTAGTGTAATCGCTTTATGAAGCCCCTGAGCACCCTGGGCAACCGCAAGCCAAGTCTGATTTATGCTAGTTGGAAAAATCTAGTTCTACAGTCAACGAGATTTAAAACTAGGAAAGATAATTTTGTATTTTCGGTATAAAGTTCTTTTCTGAACGATATATTAAAGAGATGCGATGTATATTACGCATTAACATATTTTCTGTATGACAAATAAGCCATAAATTTTATTCAATTGGTCATTATTATTAAATGACTATCTCGTTAGGCGGCATTTGATAAAGAACAAACTTTTGGATAAAATTTTGTCGTTCTGAGCCAACCATTTCAAAACGTGTAAGTTTGTAAAAATTGATTTTTCAATTCAAAACCATTTTTATTGTGCTAACATGATGTATGAATTGAAAACTTTTACACTGAAATTTTTGCAGTTGTTGTTGTGAGAATTCTGTTGATTTTGTTGACAGGAATCTCTATTTGAAAAAACACATCATTAATAAAGCCCGAAGATTGTTTTATTTTTTACAATTTTTTACTGTTTCAGACAAACATTTGCTTTCTCTACACTTGAATATTCGCCTCGGGCGTCCGTACTGTTTGTTTTTTCATTGTCTTGTATTTTTTAATTTTAACGGGAATGAAACAAAATTCTATCATGGCGTAAAATTTTATTTCGTTCCTTCCAGTAGACAGTATATATCGGGGATTGTGCCATTTTTATGTGCTTAGAGTAACACCGGTACCTATACATCTATTATTCCACAGCTGCGTTTTTGTCTCAAAACATTTTTCCCTCATAAAAGAACATTCTTTCACAGCATGTTAGAAAATATGTCAGGATTTCTTCTGCTTCTTTGCTGAATATACGTAAGCCGTGTTATTGCCAATTTCTCAACTTCGCCGGCTTTTAGTCTGCCTCGTTCCCTTCTTTTCTTCTTTCAATTTTATTTCTGATGCGTAACAAAATAATTTTATAACTGGTTTCAATTGTTTCTTCTGGCAACCGTATTAAATATTCAAACAATATTCTAATTCTTCTGGATTTTACCAAAGCCTTCGATTCCATCGGCATGCATCAATCCTGACCGAACTTGAACCCTTTCCCAATAGTATGATCCAATGGTTTCACTCTTTCTTTGTTGCTTTCTTTAACTGCCTTCAAGCAGTTTCTTATTCTAATGGTCACACATCGTCTGTTCAGAGAGTCAAGTTTACATCAATGATCTATCCGACTACATTCAGCAATGCGGTTACCACCTCTATGCCGACGACTCCCAAATTTATAAGTCCTTCCATCCCTCAGACCTACATTTGGCTATCCCCAGAATTAAGAAAGATCAGAAAGGTAGAAATTCTATAAACGAAAGGGCACGTAAAATTAACCTAGAATTAAATCCTACGAAGTTCAAAGCCATTGTTATAAGATTCATTTCTTAAATCCCTCCCTCCCGACACTCTTTTTATAATCAAAAACCAGCCCTTTTTCTTCTGATCCACTTTTTAAAACCTTAGACGAAAACCTTTCCTGTAAACCACACATTTCCCAATATTACGGCTCTGCATTGCGCCACTCGTTCAATCACAGGTCCTGGATCCTTAGTCTTTTCGCCGATCGTAAACTCCTTGTCTCCTCCCTCATCTTTCCTCTCTTCGACTACAGCTGTTACGGTGGACTTACGGAGGAACAAGATAAGCATCTGAAAGACTGATGAATTGTGGTAGATTTATTTTGCACCCTTCCCTCTTATGAGCAGTGTGTCACACTTTCAAACCTATCCTGATCTGAATTATTTTTTATCTTTCCTTATTTCCTATGCTCCTTCCTTTTTACGAAACCATAAACTCTCGTCGACCGCACTACATTTTCCAATTACTTCATTTCAAATCGTCTATCCCTCCTAATACCCGTTCGTTTCCCAATGATCTATTTCTTCCTCGTCATGAAACCATCAAATTTTAGCTGACCTTCCTAGCTGAAACCGAAAATATCTGGAAATTTTCATCTTTAACAATCCGCAAAACCGTTTCCATTAGCTTTTTTAAATCACTACTGTAGCACCTCCCTACCTCACTCCAGAGACAACATATTCCAACATTATTCATTAGGCAAATATAAAAAATAATTTTTTCTTACTTTTTTCAACTTTATATTATGTTTGAACAAGAATACGGAAGGGAATACGTTTTTTAGTTACTATTTGTTCGATAAATTCTTATTATTGCTACTATTATTTATATATTTCATATTTTGTATTTTGTGATTTATTTCACTGTATTTTAACGTCAACCATTAATTAGTTCAGATGCCAGATTTGTAAAAATTTCTGAGCACTTATTGTTATTCTTAAAAGATCCTCGTCCAGGAAAAAAATACTCTCTCTTACTCTCTCTCTCTTTCTTTCTTTATCTTTCTCTCTCTCTCTCTCTCTCTCTCTCTCTCTCTCTCTCTCTTTTTCAAGACAATCTTTATTATAATAAAACTAAATGAAATATGTAATAAAAGTAATAAAAGGTAATATTTTGCGTAATATTTACTTCAAAGAGTTAAAATCTAAATATGCTGAAGTGTTTAATTTATTTTGTGTAATAAATACAATATTTACACGAAGTTAACATGTAACGAAACAATACTAAAGGATTCTAATTAATTATCTTTTTTCAAATTTTATAGTTAACTTTTAATGCTTTTTATTGTGCGAATCAAATTGTTATCATACCATTAGACTTTTCCTGCCGATCGAGGTTTTTTACAGGGAGACAATCATGACGTCTGAAGTACCTTCAAAATTGTTTCTACCGTACGAAAACGACGAAAATGGGCTCCATTTCCTGTAACGCAGCCTTGTTTTAGCATACGAGGCGGAGTCAAGCCGTCTGAAAGCCAGCATACCTCTAATAGCGATTCTATCCGGCCGATATGCTCTCTATTTGGACGAACCACATAAAAGAGAAGGAAGCTTCTATTTCGGGTATAGCAATCTCTCCGATTGTAACATACCTCAGCTCCATTCGATAGCCAACCGCCTACGTACAATAATCCGTTACAACGAGCAATACATTTCATGAAACGGCATCAAGGATGATGAAGCACTATTTCCTTTAAGTTTACTTTCTTGTATCTAACCGAAAAGAACGTTCAAACTTCACCGGTACCACGAAAAAATAAATAACAGCTTCCTTACTGCTTAGAAAATATCGTGCTTTAAAGACTAAATGACCTTACAAACATAACATTTCAAATGGTTAAAATATAAAGTTATAAAGTTTACTTTACAAATCAATAAGATAATAACTATTAGGCAAATCTATGATTATTTCCGACTTTGACTTTACAGGTACTTAGTGTGATTATTTACTCACTATACAATTATTGTAATTATATAATTATTTTATTTGTACCCTGTACATATTAGTATACATTACGTCGTTATACCTCCGTATGGGTGGATGTGGTAATTGATCAGTACGAATAATATAAAGGATGGGCCCAAATATGTTTTGGCCAAATATGGCATGT